CTAGCTCAAGTCCCAAGAACTGGAAGTCAGATGAACGGGAGCCAGCTGTGGGATCCAGAGTGAGAAAAATCCCACGAGCCTTGCCAGAATGTCCACCTATATTGGATACAGGCCACACCCCCAAGGCAACACCCTTTCAACTGAATGGCTACTCACAGCGTCATCACGGAGGTGATCACATTATATCAGATCTCATCATAGAGGTGATTACATCATTATATGACTGCCAAACTACATCATAACTGCAAAACCACTGAGAATCTTAGCCCAGACAAGTTGATTCACAAACTTAACGATCACAGAAGTACAGTTAAAAAAAATTCTGATTGGTTATTCTTCAATACATCATTGTCAAAGGTAGAATGGCAAAAGCAAGATCTTTACAGTGATTACTTTAAAAAGTTTTTTGTTGACTAGTTACCACTTGGTGATATGTGCTTTGTGATTAGTTACTGCTTAGTGACTATGGCGGGGGCGGGGGGAGATTACGAGAGAAGGGTTCACAAGAGATTTGCCAGACATTCATTTCTGGAAATGTAGAGGTTACATAGATTCCCTGGGAACAAACTGATAATATTCATTCTTGGCTTTGTTACAAAGAAAACATTTCCTTAGCTACCAGATAACAAGCAGATCTGCACTTACCCTCTATAATTATTAACCAGCTCAGTTTTCTGGTTCCACAGGTTTTCTACACAAAATGGATTCCAGGACTGGACCCCATATTATCCTCTTATTCTGGCCAAGCACCTCATATAGTTTTAGGGTCTCCTTGTCACTGACATCATGATGAGCTTCTGGATCTTACAAGCCTTCATACCAATGTTCTATATCTTGATTGTGGCGGTTACATGGGTGAATGTATTTGTCCAAACTCATCAAGCCATACACCTAGGTGTATTATATTGAACATAATTTATATTTCAATAAAGTTGATAATAAATCTTCTTATTGCTTGTAGAAGCTAGAGATGTGGCCTGTTCATGGGTGGACTCAACATGTATTTGAGATCGAATTATTCTGTTAGGCTGTACTGTTATTTTTCCATAGTTAAGAGCTTCCTCAGGAGCTTCAGACTTATATATTCCAACATGTGGCCCTACCTTGAGGTTTCTTATAGGCTCCACAATCAACATAACCAAAACAGAACTCTCAATTTCCTGGCCTCACAACAAACCTGTCCCTCCACCCATTTTCCCATCTCAGGCAACAGCCTTACAACACAGTTGCTCAAACTGAGGTTTTAAGAGACACACTTGATTCCTCTCCATCCCTCATCATGCACATCCACTCCTTTAGCAAGTCCAGTTGACTCTACCTTCAGGTTGCATCCCCTTTCCAACCCCTTCTCACCACCTTCACTGCTAAGAACCTGGTCCATGCCACTGTAACTTCTCAACTGCATGACTGCAGTAGTCTCTTAACTCATTTCCCTGCTCCTACTATTGCTGTCTTTCAGTTTGTTCTCCAAAGAGCATTCACAGTAAGTTTTTAACAAAGTAGATTATAATGTCCCTTTCTTTCTTAAATCTTCCCAATCACTCCCATCATAGTAAGAATAAATCTCATAGTCCTCACCATGGCCTACAAGGCCTTCTGTGATCTCGGCCCTCCTACCATTCTGACCTCATTTCCTACCACTGCCTTCCTAATGCATATTGGCATCCAAGCTGTTCCTTAAACATCCACACTTTTTCACATCTCAGGACCATTGTCTTTGCTGTTCCTTTTGCATACAGTGCTCAAGTCCTATATCTTCCCAAAAAGGTTGAGTCCTTGTTGCTATTTAAATATCAGATCAAAGTCATTACCTTGGAGAAGCCTTCCCTGATCTCCTCATGCTAGTAATTTTCTATCACATTTTCCCGTTTTATTTTCTTCATAAGATTCAATTCTTGAGTGTAGCATCCCCTCTAGGTTGTAATTTCCATGAGAACAAAGACTGTGTCTGTCAGGTTCTCTGCTTTATCCTCAGTGCCTATCACAGTGCCTGGAATATTGTTGGTAACAATAACTATTTGTTGAATAAATGAATTAGTGGCATGCATTAAAGATGTGTGTGCTAAGTTGTGATGATCCAGTCTGGGAGATGGGATTGGGGATGATGGGAGAGCAAGCTCAGGTATCTCTAGAACAGCAGTTTTATTTGAGTCCATGAAAACTGTGCTTTGATAATTGGGAAGAAATGACCAGATAATTGGGGGAGTGTTTCCAGCTGCCTTGGTTGTAAAAGTGTGGCAGATATTATATATCAACACCCCACCCCAGTAAGAGAATCCCAAATTTATTTGGGGTAGTAATGTGCCTGCTAAAATATCACATTTCCATCATTCCTTGCAGCTAGGTATGGCCACATGACAAACTTCTGCCCAGTGAGATGAATGCAGAAGTGTTCTGTGGTAGTTCTAAGAAGGCAACTAAAGGGAGCTGAATTGTCCACTTGTGATAGTTCAGACCATAAGATAAATGTTCTCAATTTTGACAGCTCATTAGAGTCAAGTGAGGAGCCTTAAAAATACTGATGTCTGGAACACCCCCTCCCCCCACCACAGATTCTGGGTTGATTGTGGGCATTGAAGGGGATTCTAGTGGATACACTTTGGGTTAATCTTTTTTTGAGAGTTCTTTATCTGGGTTGATATCTGTCTGATGTTGTCATGTGTTTTAATCTCAAATTGTTGCCTGGTGTGTTATTAGATTTCTGTTGGAAGGACTCCCTGTCCTAATTTCACCATCATATTTGAGGGATAATTTTGCTGGATATATAATTCTTGGTTGGCAGGTTTTTTGTTTTGTTTTGTTTTTTATTTCAAAGTTTTATATACTTTATCCATTGCATCTTGCCTGCATGGTTTCTGTTGAGTAATCAGAACTTTGTCTTATCGATGCCCCTTTGTAGGTGATCTTTCGTTTTTTTCCTAAGCTGCTTTCAAGATTCTTTCTTTGTCTTTGGTTTTGTAAAGTTTGATTATGGTACGTCTCGGGAGTCTTCTATTGGGATCTATCCTGTATGGGCTTCATTGTGCCTCTTGTATGGTTATCTTCTCATCTTTCATGATATTAGGGAAGTTTTCTGTCAACATATTTTCAACAATTCTCTCTGTGCTTTATGTTGACTCCTTCCCTTAATGGTGTCCCACATAACTCTTAGGCAGTCTTCATTTTTTTTTATTTTCCTCGAACAGATTAGTGTCAAGGGATTGGTCTTCTATTCCGCTGATCCTGTCTTCCATTATTTAAATTCTACTCTTATGGCTTTTCATTGTCAATTTCCGCAATTTTATTGTTAACCTTCTGGATTTTGGTTGCTGCTTCTGTATCATTTCCAATTGTCGATGTATTTTGTCATTTTGTTCTTGTAATAGAGACTAGCAAAGAATAATAAGAGGTCAGCTAGACAGAAGATGGGAGTTATTAAACCTTTGTCTCAGTTCCTAGACCCATCAACCGACCACAGAAAACTTTGGTGAGTTCCTTCCCCTGTGCTGGCCTAAGCCCTAACACAGAAGAACACTCATTATAGAAACAGTGGTTAGGAGTTTTGGGGTCTGATGGACCAGGGTTTGACCCTGGGAACCAATACCTGCTGATTGCATGAGCATGAGCAAGCATTTTTATCTACTGTGTGCTCTATAATTGTTGGTGTCTTTTATTTTGTTGTCATTATTATAATTCCTACTACCCATCTAAAGAGTGAATGATAGGAGTGAGGATTCAATTGCCAAGTATTACAATGCTGTTTAGGAATGAGCCCCAAGCGAGGGTGGGGGATGCAGAGGGTGAAGAAAGACAATAGGGATGAAGTGGGCAGAGAAGTACTGGGCCCTCTCTGGGTGCCTGCCCTGTGCTGGGCCCTTCATGAGCTCAGGATAGTTCTAACCAAGAGCATTCCTGGCTCTCAGCTGCAGACAGCAGCAGGCTGGGGGCTGCCCAGGAAGTACAGGACTGAAGGGCTGGGCCTTACCAGCTCCCTCCCCATCCAGGGGCACCAGGGATGCCCCTGGATCAGAGCCCTCCCCCATTGCTCCTGGGCCTCAGGGGAGGGTCCACAGTGGACCCCTTCCAGAACTGACCCTGAAGGGCCTGCCTCATATAAATGATTGTCCATCTCCCCCACGCCGAGGGTGTCTTACACACCAACGAGGGGGACCCTGAAGGAAAGAACATACCTGCCTCTCATAAGTAAGTCATCTCCAGACATTTTTACCTGACATGATGATGTACTTTTACAGGTAATAACTTTAATACACATCCTGCACACAGTATATCAATATGGACACACACGCACAGTGTATTCTTCTGAGAACACCAATCTTCAGCTGTCTTTCCTCATGTATTATTTGAAAGTCTGCAGTTGTGTTTTTGGAGTTATTATGGTCAGACAGCTTTTCATGGATTTGTTGGGCATAACTTCTGCTTTCAGTAAGAATTCTAGGTTGATACCGTTTTCCTATATCCCTACTCATTTCTTTACATATCAAGGATATTACTCCTACGTCAGTCTTATATGTGAACATGTTTTTCTTCCAGCATTTCATGTGCTCTTGAATGCTCCCCAAACAGTTGTTTTTAAACTTGAATAGCTTCATATGGCTAAGAAAGCAGTACTGTTCTCTGTATAAAAATAACTGATTAATACACTAGGGACATAGAAGCCATGCCCCCAGGTTTATCAGGGTTAGAAAGCGACCCCACCCCTGAAGCCACAGCTTGGGCTTTAGGGTGGGTCCAGGATTTGAGTCTCTTCTCTGCAGTTTCCCAGAAAGTCCCTTACCCTCTGAGACCTTCCCTTGCCCCTCTGCAGGTCAGTGATGACAATGCTTGCCTCCAATGGATACTGCAGGGATTTGACATAACATGCAACGTCACTCTTTATTTTTAAAAGAAACAGAGAAACTGGGTGGGACAAATACACAGAACAATGGCCCTTTGGGTGAATGCATGTCAGCCTGAAGAGGTCAGCTTTGGCTTCCTGGGCCACAGTGGGCCTCTCACCACAGTCACATGCCAGAGAAAAGAGGGAGAACAACAAGGATGATGAAGATGGCCAGAACCTTGGCTCCTTTGGAGTTTTTGTTGTCAGGACGGTGGATCACTTCATGAAGGGGTCTTGTAGGACCTTGATTACAGGCTGGAGGGAGAGAAGGGAGAAGGTGGGGCATCATCAGAGCCAGGAGTCCTGAGTGTCATCCCCCGGCCACCCAGCCTCTGCTCACTTGGCCTGAATTCCCAGACTTCACTATGGACAGAGCGAAAAATCTGTGAGGCTCTGGTATAGTCCCAGTTGCTGTCATGAAGGCACCTGGGGTGGAGGAGGGACACGCAACACCCATCAGGACCAAAGTAGGGACACTGACCACACAAGGCCACATCCTAATCTACGCATCAGAAACATGCCTCCGCATCTGCTGTGACGTAAGTAGCAGAATGAGCACTGTGGCCCTGTGTGTAAGGGGGGGAACTCCTGGAAACCCCAGTGTCTGTCAGTAAAGGAACAGGGTCCACGGAATTCAGAAAGTACTGTGCACCTGTTCACAACAACTAGGTGGCACACTGTGTACTGAGAGGAAAAATGTTCCGTGTGACAATGAGTGAAATAAGCAAAACACATTCCCTGTGAGTTCCCATCATTCACTCCCCAGCTCCTCCCAGCTTATCTCATCCCCACCCACTCCCAGCACTCACTTCTTAGGCCACTGGAGGCTCATCCCAGACTGGGTGGAGAACGCCTGCACCATTTCTTGCTGCTCCTGGGAGATTGTGGGCACGGAGCTGGAGGAGGGTATGGGCACTGGGGTGGAGAAGGCACCCTGGGTCACTGTGGGGCTGGCATCCCTTACAGACAGTTGGTCATTCACGATGCATAAGCTGGAAGAAGAATGAGCCCTCAGACAGCTGGACAGATGGACAACTTCACACCCCAACAGTGATCCTGCTCCTACTCAGCAAAAACTATCTTTCCATTCCCTGCTCCGCCTGCCTCCCACATTCCTTGGCTGGTACCCTTTCCCCTCCCACAGAACCTCCCTGGAGATATCTGCCAGCTGCACTCAATTTGTAGCTTTACTCCCAACCCAGGGACAGCTTCACACCCGCCTTTACCCTTTACAACAGCCCAAGGAGGTGGATACTCTAATCTTCATATTCAGAGGAGGACACTGAGTCACAGAGAGGTCGTGTAACTTGACCAAGTTCACAGAGCTGGTGAATGCTGGGGTCAGGGTGAGAACCCGCTATTCCAACGTCAGAGCCTACACTGTTGCCACTGGGCTAGACTGCTCCTGGGATCTACCTTTTGGCATTCTGCAATACTGCGGAAACCCTGAGGAATGCACTGTCACCTTCCCACACCACTGGCCCCAGGCTGGGATGGGTGTTCTCACGTGGCACCCACAACACAGCACTTACCTGGAGTTGCTGGCAGGGGTAGCGATGAAGATCCGGGTGAAGGCACAAACACGAGCCTGACATATTCCTTCCACTTCAAGTACAACAACAAACAATACCCCTCAGAGTTGCCCATGCTTTACACGCTCACCAGCAGCATTCCCCACTCAGGGTCTGACTGTCCCATGGCACCCTGAAGGGGCCCAGACAGGGACAACTGCCTACTGGGAGTCAGGAGGGGGCGTCAGCGATGGGAGGGCAACAACAGGAACAATCACCTCCGAGTGATAGGGTCCCTATTCTGTGTCAGGCCCTGTGACAGACTCTTCACAAGTTTATTTGACTCATTTTTCACAGCAGCCCGAGAGATGGGTATTGCAAATGAGGAGACTGAGAGGTAAGCAAGTGTCCCAGGTGTCAGAGTGAGGGAATGGGATGAGAGCCATCAAATTCCACAGCCTATGTCCCTAACACCCGGGCTGTGCTGGGGCAGACAGGTATGGACATGGGTCAGACCAGGGTGGCTTGGGGGCAGGGTGGGAGCTGGGGAGCACAGAGGGAATAGGAAGGGAAGGGACCAGGGAAGTCTGGAGAGTGTGAGTGGGAGCCCGTCAGGGGGAGGGAGAGTGGGGGACATGGGGAAGGAACTCTACAGACACTCACCCTCCTTGAACACCCCGTTGACAGAAAAGCAGAGCATCTTTTCCTGAAAGAGTAAAACAGCTCAAGCTCCCAAGATCCCCCTAAACCTCCTAACCCACATCCGCCCTCTGGGCCTGCCTCAGGGAGGAAGCAGGTGCTCACCGTCTGGACACACATGTCCACCACAAAGGAGCTGAGGTCATGCTGGGTTTTGGGCAACACACTGAGGAAGTCAACAATGTCACGTTTTGTGTGTTTCAGCAACTGAACCCGCAGAACTGGGAAAGGGAGATGGAGAAGAGAAGGTCAGGGGATGCCTCACTCACCTGGCCCCTATGATTGACCCCTTCACACCTTCTGTCTCATCCAATCTTCCCCCTCACACACTTACTGGAATCCTTGAGCTTCTTCATATTCCTGCTGCCCTTGGAGTACTCACCCAAGCTGCTTCTAGGAAAAACAGAAGAAAAGGAACTGGGGGTCTGGCCAGTGTGGGCATTGCCAGGAGTTGGCCCTAGTGGCTCAGTTGTAACAGTGGTGGATTGCTAACCGAAAGGTTGTGGGTTCAAATCCACCAGCTGCTCTGATGGAAAAAGATGTGGCAGCCTGCTCCTGTAAAGATTACAGACTTGGAAAACAATAAGGGGTAGTTCTACTCTGTCCTATAGGATTGACAGGAGTTGGAATCATCTCAACAATGAGTTTTGGGCCTGTCTGCTGGGGAGTCACATGGCCCAGGGCTGTCACTGGGTCTGCGATACTCACGGAGCCGGGTCCTCAGAGTTGAAGGGAATGGTCAGCGAGAAGCAGGCCTCGTCATGGTAAGCAACCAGCAGACCCTGCCGGTCCCCATAGTCATAGATCCAGTAGTATCTGTGGGGAAGCAAAGGGGACAGGCTCTCTGTGGTCTGGACCCCTAAGTGGACTTGAAAGCCCCCATAAGCAGGCCTGTAACTGGGTGACCTGGCCCATCCCATCCCTCCCTGCCACACAGTAGCAGGGGTACATACTGCTGCAGGAATTGCAAGATTAGATTCTTCAGGGTCTCAGATCCAAAGACACTCCCCTGGAATCAAAACAGTTCTCAGGACCACGGCTATTATACCCTCCTCACCCACCACCCCAAGCCCTGCTTGATCCCACCTCCTCACCTTGCAGACTGGTAACTTCTTGTAGGCTTCAATGCCAAAGATAATGGATGGGGGTACCTCATGATCATCCTGGGGGAAGGAGGAGGAAGTCAGCAGTGCAGACCAGGGGTGTGGCACTGAATGGTCAAAGAAAAGGATGGGCCCAGGAGAGGGGTGATCGGAGGTCAGGGTGAAAAGGCTTTGGAAATTCCATGGGCAAGACTATCATAGCCTTTGTCAGAGTCCCTCATGGGTCTGTCTCCCATGAGGATTAGGGGTCAGATCCAAAAATCTAACCTGGGCAAGATCTAAGGGACTCAGGGCAGGTTGTGAGTGCGGTCTGTACCAGCTAGAGGAGTCAGGGATAAAGGAAGACACTTACCAGGCGTAATAACTTGGGGAACAATTCCAGGATGGAGCTGTCAAATATCAAGACAGAACAGAAAAGCAAGTAACCACAGAGCTGGCCCGGCTCATGGAAGGAAGAACGACTACACTGGAACACAGCCAGGTGTGTCCCACCTGCACTCCAGTGCCACAACCCCTCCAGGACCCTGGGCACCTCCACATGGACTCACCCAGAAAGAGATCTAGTGGGTGCTCTCTCCATACCCCTCTCCCCCTCTCCTTCCTCCTGGGAAGCTCACACAGGATGGCCTGACCCCCTTCTCTAGTGACACAGAAGCAGCATGTGAAGCCCAGGCTCCAGGGATTCCTTCCCCTCCCTGCCTCACCTACTACCTCCCTCCAAGTCCCCAGGGCAGGCTCTGGAGGGAGGAAGGAATGGGGTGGGGGCCCAGGGCTCTGCTCCCTCACCAGGTGCCCAGGGCTCTGCTAGGCCTGGCCCTGGACAAGACCAGAACATCCCCAGGGATGGCCATGTATGTTAGGGAGGGAGATAAGTGAGGCAGGCTCAGGAGGCAGGAAGGGGATGAGGGCAGAAAGGGAGTGCAGGTAGGGAGGGGAGACATAGAGGAGTGGAGATTAAAGAGAAAGAAAAAGCCAAGGAAAGGCAAGGGGAAGAAGTTTACTGTGGGTGGTGGGGATTAGGGAGAAAGGAGGGAAGAAAGGGGAAAAGGCTCTCCTGCTGCTGCCGTGTCCTTCCTCTGCCCTTGGCTGGCCCTGGGGCTGAGGTAGGAATGGAAAACTGGTACTTGTTGGGCTGGGGCCCACTGGCCTTTGTCACCTGTGTGATGCCATCTGAGCTGGGCATGGGAAACAGAGCAGCCAGTGGGGCAGGAGACCTTTCCCAGGAGTAAAGTTTCAGGTAAAGGCATAGCATGGGGTTGAGGGTCTCTGGACCCACTTATGAGCACCACCTTCTCCCCTCACGGCCTCTGTACAACTGTGCCTGTCTTAGTTGGTCCCTTGTCTGAGGAATCAGACCATCTTGGTCTACCCAGTGCTCTTCTGAAGGACCAGGCAGGATACCATGATGTGGTGGAGGGAGGGGGGCGGTGCCTCTGAGAGGACTGTCCCCCGTCTCCTCATCTGCCTCTGCACTCTGCCTTCCACACTCAGCCCCTGCCTCGGGATGCCCTCTGCTGACTGGAGGACACTCGCTTCTGACTCAGGGAACCCAGTTTCTCCCCCAGGAGGGCCCTGTTCCTTCACTGGGCCAGAGGAACAGATGTCATGATACAGCTGCCCCTGGGCCTCGACCTTCAGCATGGGGCAGGAAAGCACCAATGTCAGCCTGGGGCAGGTCAGGGGACCCTTTTGGGGTAAGAGAGAGAGGGCCCATCACAGGACAGGGAGGGAAGTCCCATCTCAGCTCAGAGGCAGGAAGGCCTGTCTCAGCAGGAGGCCCTGGTGAGGAGAAACCTTCACAGTCCCAGGCATCAGGATTTGGCTCAAGGCAGCCCCAGTAGGGGAGCAGGGAACAGTCTGGACACCCCTGGTCCTTGGGAGGAAGGGAGAGCCCTGCTTCCTGCAGCACATTTGGGGAGGCCATGCCAGAGACGGCTGGGTGCAGAGAGGCGGGAGACAGGCCCTAGCTCCCGGGGAGCAGTGAGCAGGCCAGAGGAAGGCAGGGAGACCTCTAAGCACAGGTGAAAGACAGAGAGAGGAGAGGGCAGGGCACGTTGTCCTCCCAGAGGACTGGGCTGTAGCCTCCTGCAGACGGGCACTGTCAGGGGCAGCTCAGGCTGCCAGGGGGGAACAGAGGGCGCAACTGACCTTATGTTGGTGGACTTATCTGGGAAGGTGGTGCACAGAGGGTTTCTGTCCGCACACATCTCTTCTGGCTCCAGCCCTTTCACCTTGTCCAACTCCCCTTCAGACTTCACCTGTAATTATGACAAGGAAACGTGAGTCAGGGAGACAGCCAGGAGGGCCCTGCACCCCAGATCCACCCTCCCCCACAAATCACCTTGCCTACCTCTTGTTATCACCCTGATGAGCCCAACCATCTTCCCTTCAAAGAGTGCTCTGGCTATCGCTTCTCACCTCATTTTTGGAGAGGTTCAGGCTCTTGATGTTAGGGTCCTTCTCCATGGTGTCAGGCAGGCCAACAAGCTGGTAGGGTGTGTTGTTGCTCAAGTTGAAGGACAAAAGCTGTGATGGGGGAAGAACTAGACTGAAGGTCCAAGAGGTGATATCTGGGACAAATATTCCCTCTACCCCATCTGTCCCACCCTCCTCCTCAGCACTGGGTCTAAGGTCTCACCTTGGGCATGTTCTCTTCATGGATCCGTGGGGAGACAGCCATGCAGTTTCTAAGATTTGGCCCCATTTCAATATCATGGCTCATCACGTCTTCAGGAAGCCAAGAGGAGGGAATCAGAAGGATGAGAGGGGCCCGGCTGGACCAGCGCCAGCACCAACACCTCCCTAAGTTGCCCTCTAACCCTCCCTCCCAGAAAGGGCCCTTTGCCTGCACTTGCCCTAGAATTACTGCTGTCAGTCATACCTGGGTCTGAGTGGAGTCTCTGGAGGTCAAGAGCTTGCTGGGGGACTTCATATTCTTTGATCTTGGTCTTCTGCAGAGACAGAGATGGAGGGAAGTGGCTCTGATGCTGAGGTGATGGAGGGGGAGATTGTTGAGGGAAGAAGTGGTGGGTCTGGGTGTGGGCGCACATGTGTTCAGTCTGCATTACCTTTATGAGTTTCACTTTTGTTGACTTTTGCTCCTTCTGCTCAAAGTAGGGTACAGGAGAGGGGCTGACAAAGATAGATATCTGCAGAGAAGAGAGTTTGGGTAAGCACCAGGAACTCTGAAACCCAAGATCAAGCAAGACCCGTCCTCCTGCCTGCCCTCCTGCCCCCAGCTAGCCCTGGCTATGCCCTGACACGCACACTTTCGTTATCTTCATTGCAAATCTTGCCGCTGACTTTCTTCAACTCGAAGGCAGTGCTGGCATTCTCAACAAAGAACTGAGCCTGCATTTTCTCATAGTGAAACTTCAGGGAAAGGGGCAAGAGAAATATAATATGAGGTGAGAGCTCCTGCTCAGCCTGGCCCCTCCACCGGCCCTGGGCCCACTCGGCTGCTTCCCTGTCCCCTCTTACCTTGATCGGGTTGAAGGGGACACTGCATTGGCTCTGGATCAAATTCAGCAGCCACTTCTCATCATATTTTATGCCAAATGGAATCTAGGATCAAAAGAAAGAATGGGAGAAAAGACTGACATGATGAAAATAAAGCTTAAAGAGAGTCCCAAACATGTGTTCCTTTCAGATCTTTTACTAAGCTTAGAAATAATTTCTAAACATAGGTCAGTGTCCATTATTTCTAACTTTTGTACCAAACGTTGGTTTGCTAAATACCCTTTCTTTCCATTCAAACATCCTCCTCCAAATAATCAACTTAGGATCTTTAACATGATCTTCCCTTTATAAGGTTCCAGGAGATTCTACCTAATGCAGATCCTGTCTGCCCCTCTGACAAGGACTCCAGAGACTCGACCACATCCCTGTCCCCCCCTCCAACCCCTAAGTTTGAGCCAAACTGAGCCATGCGGTAGGGAGGTGCTCCATCTCCTTGTGAGCAGTTTCCACCTTTGTCTTTAGACAGACTTCCCATTCTCCCCACCTTCAGCCTGTTCTCTTTTTATTGGTTCTCCAAACCTACCTTTAGACGAATTGACAATGTTAACACTTAGTAATAAAAAGGAGAAATTACCAACTCCTCATGCCCCAGGAATGTACCTAGTGTTTCCGAGAGATCAGAACAACTCAACCCAACCTGTGTCTCCTGCACATTAGTGATTTTGCCAGGACACTCACTGTGATCTTGAACCAGGTCCTGGAGGTCCCTTCCTGCCTGTTCCCCTCCATTCCTCCCTCTGGAGGTTTTCTCTCTCTTTCCATGTTACCACGGGTTTGGTCTCCTCTGTGAAAACTGTCTCTCCGACGGTAGGTTGGGTTGGCATAGGGGGTGCTGCGTGGATGTGGAGAGAAAGAAGGCATCCATGAATGCCAAGAAAGTCTTCTAATACCTCGCCCTACTGATATCAAGGCTATAATAATGTTTGCTCAACCATTAATCTGGTCCTAGCATTCCTCACTCTACCAGGTTGGAGAAAAGGAATGACAGAGTTACATACAGGGTTACATATTCCACTGGCTGGTACATGCCACCATGCTGAGTGGCCACTTACTATCTCACTCCAGGGCCCACGTGGGCATCACTCATTGCCACGTCTCCATTTTGCTCCTGGTGTGATGATGGTTGAATGCCAGGGCTGACTGGTTCAGACCAACTGACGTACCTCCTTCGGAAAATACCCCAGTATCTTGCTCTTCTTTGAAAAAAATTAACTTTGTGACTGTCCTCCCCTGAAATTGAGAACAACAAATCAATGGTCTGAATGCCAGAAAAAGTCCTGGGAAAATACTATGGCTAGTGAAGTAATTTCACTAACTTTTATAATGTAGAAAAATATAGCACAGTGCTACAAAGGTTGAAAGACTTCACTGTGGCTCCACTTCCTGGGAGATGAGAGGTAGGGAGCATTCGCAGCCCAGGAGAGAGGCAGCACAGAAGGAAGGGCTTAGGCAGAGGGTCTATTCTGTGATGTTAGTCCCTGTCCTGCTGTTTTCAGTCTGGGTGGCCCAGGACAAGTTGCTTAACATCTCTAACACTTACCTCCCTCTTCTGCTCTAGGGGAATAATAAAATCTACCCTGAATGTTTGGTGTTATGGTTCAAGGGTCAAAGGCAAATTCCCCACTTTGATAGATGACTTAGAGAAACGAAAGCTAGATCTGAAGAAAATATTCAAAATGTAGCCTGGAGAGACACAATGATGGAGAATACCAAAGGAGGGGGTGGGGATATATTGAATAAATCTAACGTGTTTAATTGGAGTCTGGAAAGAAAGAGTGGGAATAGTGGAGAAGTAGTATTTGAAGAGATCATGTCTGAGAAATTTCCAAAAGTAACAAAAGATATCAAGTTGGTACAACCATATTAATAAGACAAAAAGTGCATTTTAAGACAAAAACATTACTAGAAAAAAGAGGGAGATTTCATAGTGATAAGAGGTTCAATTCCACAAGAATATAATAATAAAACAACTCTAAATTTGCGTGCACCTCTTAACATAGAAGCCAAAATGTACACAGCAAAAACTGGCATAAATAAATGAAGAAATACACGTCTACAGTGACAGTGGGACATTTTAACTGAGTGATAGATAAAACAGGTAAACCCAAATTCAGTTAGATGGAGAAGATTTAAACAATGTAACAAATTTACTTAATTGACATAGAACACTGCACAGAATAACCACACATGGAACATTGAAGAATAGATCATATGCCGGGCCATAAAACAAGCCTCTAGAAAGTTCTATAGGGGTGATACAATCTACCTTGAATAGTTGGTGTAAGGATTCAAGGATAAGGGTGAGTTCCCAGCCCCTCCCCCCCAGTATGAATCCCAAGAATGTTAATTTTCAACACCTCACCCCAGGCAACCCTTCCAACTCCCCAACTCTGAACCACTTGACTCAGGCCTTTCCTCTCAACCAGGGGGATCTCACCTCAGCCATGACCAAACTACAGGAAGAGAGATTTTCCATATAGAACCATAATGGGGGTCTCAGGGCCCACCCAACCCCATCCTCAGGAGAGTGGAAAAGTCACCTAGGCCCTCATCACCCATCATCTAAAGGCGGTCAGCTGTTATCTAGTGGGGTGGGGGAAGGGCCCAGAACCCACCCCACGCCCTCAGTGCTGACCAACTTACCCATCCTGCAGCCAGTGACCTGTCACCACTGTCCTCACAGAAATTTCTTGAGGAGATTCTGTGGGGTCTGGAGCCAGGGGTTTGGGGTAGATCAAGGAGGCTGTTGAGGAAGGCGAGAGCAGTCTCCAAACCACCTTGTCAGGGCCACGCTAGCAAGATGGAGTCCTCACAAGAAGTCTCTTCCCCAAGGGCATAGAGAGGAGAGCCCTGGGGACCAGAGGAGACTTAACTTCCTGTTCTTACTGCCCTGATTTTGCTACCAGCTTGACACCCAGGGAGCCATTTCCAACTGAGCTACCCTCCTACTCCTGGGCTGAGGTGGTTAACTAGAGTCAGGAGGCCTGGGTCCCACGTATTGTAGCTGTAAACCCAGGAACTGAGGGTAGGCTGTGTACTAAACTCTGTGTCTGTTGCATTACATCTTGTTCCTTCATTCTGCAAACCCAAGCAACTCTGAGGGCTTGCTGCATGCCAGGCTTTGTACTTGCTACATTGCATCTATTTGTTCATGTGTCCCTCACAAGGGGGCCATGAATGCAGAATCACCAGCTCTCTGAGGTTGCTGAGGTTTAGTGAAATGCAGGAGCTTGTTTGCAGTCACTCACATGCTACATGGGAAAACAGAGAGTGGAACTGAGCTCCATGGAATGGGGATGACCCCCTCCCATGCATAGCTTTAATAAAGTCTTGCTGCACTATATGGGGTTTTTTTTTTACATTAGGGCAAAGTAACAGAAAGACCTGGAAATAGCAGGAAATAACCGTAGCCATCCCAGAGAGAACTTACGAAAAAACAGACCTGGAATCTATAATGGAAATAACAGACTTTGGTTTGACCCTGGAATGAGATTTTGAGGGGGCAAGGGGAATGCTTTTTTCTTTAAATAAAAAAAAAAAAAGTACTCAATGTAGATAGAGTTCCCCTAGTGGTCAGAGCCAGAATTGTAGCTCTGAAAGTCTCAGGCCACCACGTTTTGCAAAGGAGAGGCAGTGCCTGGGAGCCCACATCAGCCAAAACTTTCTGGAATTTTCCACTCCCTAGAAGCAATCTCTATGCCCTGAGAGAAGAAGTCCAGCCCCTGAGAGAGGAGAAAATAAATCTGCATATAAGAGCGTGCGAATATTTGGGCACAGGGAAGTATAAGACAGAAACACACACACATACACAGATAAATTGTCAAAAGTTGTATTTTTTAAAAACTAAAACACTATACTGTGAACATTTTTCTAAACCAATACATATATGTGAGCCTTTTTATTAATTTTTATCGGATATTTTCAAGTGTTTCTCTCAACAAATTTGCCTCATTACAAAATAGTAAACACTAAAAAGTCTACTTGGAGAATAACTCTGCATCTTTCATCTATGAGATCCCCTCACTGTGACCCACAGATATCAACTGTAAATAGATTGGCACACACTTTGCAGATATGTTTCCTTTGTTGTTGTTAGATCCCATCGAGTCGGTTCCGACTCATAGCAACCCCATGTACAACAGAACGAAATGCTGCCTGGTCCTGTGCCATCCTCACAATCATTGTTATGGTTGAGCCCATTGTTGCAGCCACTGTGTCAGTCTATCTCATTGAGGGTCTTCCTCTCTTAAGTTGACCCTCTGCCAAGCATGGTGTCCTTCTCCAGGGACTGGACCCTCCTGATAACATGTCCAAAATACGTGAGATGAAGTCTCGCCATCCTCACTTCTAATGAGCATTCTGGCTGTACTTCTTCCAAGACAGATTTGTTTTTTAATTCTGGCAGTCCATGGTGTATTCAAACTTCTTCACCAACACCATAATTCAAATGCATCAATTCTTCAGTCTTCTTTATTCGTTGTCCAGCTTTGTCTTTAGGTAATATATATAAAAACCAAACCGAACCCATGGCCATCAAGTCGATTTGACTAGTGACCTCATAGGACAGAGTAGAACTACTCCATATGGTTTCCAAGGTTGTAAACCTTTACTGAAACAGACTGTCACATCTTTCTCCTGCAGAGCGGCTGGTGAGTTCGAACCACTAATCTTTTGGTTAGCAGCCGAGCACTTTAACCACTGTGCCACCAGGGCTTCTTGATAATGTGTTTACCTACCTTAAAATATTTGTAAGTATTGAATAAGTATGTATATTCTTTTAAAATTTGTAATCAATTTTCTGCAAACCTTTTTTTCCACTTATCATGACATTTCTGATTTTTTATTTCTTTAGCTAATGTGGTTTGGCATCTCTCCAGATGTTTATTAGAGAAGCATTTTGCTTTTTAGTTGAATTATTTGTTGATATACCTTTTCCTCTCTCCTCTACTGATTAAAAAAATTTCTTTATGATCACGCATATTTACTGTCACCTCTTCACATTTTAAATTAAAAAAAATCTCTGTTGACACTACAGAAATTTCTTTTAAATTTTCATTTTCTTTATTTTAAAATAATGCAACTCACACAGAACAAAACTGAGTAATATACTGGGTTGCATCAAATACCAGGCCACTGGGGATTCCAACATTCAAAACCTTGAAGGCTTCAGGACACAATGGAAAAAGCTTTAGACCAAATTCTACATTTATGAATAATAGGGACAATAACTGGATAGTTGTTTGGCTTAAAGGAGCTATCATGTAAATCAATCTAATTACCTCGGCTTATAGTAATTCTGTCATGTTTATTACCTCCTCTCCATGTTGGCCACTTTTCCTGTGCTTCTCTCTGGGCCCCACAAACCACCTCCCGGACATATCCAGGTGTGAGGTATGGAACCCCCTTGTAGTAAACAGTTTGGCCTGTGGTCCTGGTTCCTGAGAGCCAGACCCCACTTGAGGCCAATGATTGGGGGCTGACAGACCAAGACGGACCACCTGGAGGCCTGATGCTGACAGCCTCAGGAGGCATGATGTAATTTATCATGGCCACGTGGTGAGGCCAATAAAGGCCTTGGAAGACAGAGGCTCAGTGGAGCTTCCAGGGTGGTAACTGAACATCTGCTCTCAGGCAAGTGAGCACATCCCCTGGGGACATAGAAGCTCTGAGCCCAGACCCCTCTCAGACCTTGCCCTCTGTGTTTGTATCTTTTTTTCTGCTAGATTAAAGACAGCCCATTCCCTGGGGACCTAAGAAACAGAGAAGTGGCCGTTACCTGCTGACCTAGTTCTGGGTGAAGGGGGATGAAAGAGAGCAGGGGCAGGTACCCAGTGACCTAGTCCAGGGTGAAGGGGGATGAGAAAGGGCTGCGTGGAGCATCTGGGGTCTGAAAGGAGCAGGGAAGAGAAGCTGAATTTCCACAGGATGCAGTTGGTGTGTGGAGTGGGATATATTGTCCACCACACAGCATCAAAGGTGGGTGATCTCAGCCTCCCTGGACTGGTTTTACACAGTTGCTGATGTGAGCAGGAGTTGTGAGGGGACTCTGACAGAGCGCCAGGCCTCTAGGCCTAAGGGGAAGGATTTCATCTTCACCATCATCTTCACCACCAAGAAGAGGCTTGGGTGCTTGAGTGTCCTGGGAGCGCAACATAGACACCAGGGGAATTTAAACTAGATGTGTAGCCCTGGAAA